CACTACCAATTGGTAAAATATTTTTTGTAAAATACTAGTATTTTTATTATTTATGCGACTGGTATTGTGAGTACCAGGCGCAGGTTCAGAAATGTCACTGCCCGATTCATTTTCAAAAAATTGGACGGGGTCAACACTTGGGTTGACATAAGTCTTCTAAAAACTGTTCTACAGTCTTCTCCAACAAAGATTAAACTTTATTGGCCATTATTTTGAAAAAAAATAAACGTAAGCAATTCAAAAAATATGAAATTGATAAACTGTGAAAGCGACGCTCACTTTATCGGTACAGTTAACTTTGCACACTGAAAACTTGAGGAAATACAGATAGCGGCTTTTTTTTTTTGTAATTATTGGTAAGCTTTTATTTGAAGGTAATAAAAGAATCAAGCAAAATAACAAACATTTATGTGACTGTCGTTTAAAATGCTATTTGTGTGAGCGCCGCGCTCACATGTTTACCAATGACGGGTTAATTATTTTCAACATAATATTTGAAATTTCAATATTAAATTTATACTGATATTTCATTTAAAGTTCTAATTGCTTATACAAATAATATTAATAATAATAATAATAATATAAAATATAGAAAGAAAACGTATTGTTCTTGTGTTATAATTTTAGTGTACAACTTGACTTTGAGAATCTCATTTTATAATGAATGGTCCGAATAAAAAAATATTTGAAAGTGAAGCGAGTAAACGAAAACGTAAAGCATAAGAAGAGCAAAAAATTAAATTGTTGCCGTCTTTTTCAGAGTACTTTATCGAAAATTCGGAAATTCAACCATCTTTTTCTACAAACTCTTTTTGAGCCAATGTAACACAAAATATGCCATCAAGTCCCTTACCTTCTTCTTCAGTCACCACTATTGCACATAAAATATCTAGTTTCTCACCTTTATCGACCAACGAATTTTTAGGTAAAATACCATCCAGCTCTTCATCTTCGTCCCCAAGTAACAATATACTAGATTTAAATTTTTTTACTAAGCTTCTGATGTTACCAAACCCTACTGATATTGGCCATTTTAGCCATCTAAATCAGTTGTCTGATGCAGAAAAAAAATTTATTGTTGGATATGGACCATGCCAACCTAAAGAACCATTCTATAGATATTCAGATTATCGTGTTTCTAATTTATCGTTCAATGAGAAATATTATTATTCTGGGTCATCAATGTCTGGTGGAAAGACAATGAGACTATGGTTGAGTTATTCGATTATTCATCAAGTTGCATATTGTCAACCATGTACTCTGTTCGGGAATAGATAAAAAAATAAACAAACGTCATGGATTGACGGATTTGATGACTGGGATCACATAACGATTGCTATGAGCCGTCATGAAAGTTCTACATTTCATCTTGTTTCATGTAAAGCTTATAATATGTATCATAAAAATTTAAGTATAGACTGTCGAATAAAAAAGCAAGACGTTTCTAAATCTGAATATTGGACCGCAATTTTAATAGGTATAATAGATATATCGATCACATTAGGTGGCCAAAATTTGTCTTTCAGGGGCCATAGAGAAGATGCTAACTTCAAAATCAAATAATTGCATTAATAGAAAGTTAAATAAAGAAAAATATAATAACTGATGTTACCTCCGCGCCATTTTTTTACTTAATTCTAGATTCAACACAAGATATAAGCAAAGTTGACCAAGTTTCTACGATATATCAATATGTACATATAGAAAAAGATGAACTTGGAATTCTTAGAAGTATTGAAATAAAAGAAGATTTCATTGGTTTTTATGAAGCAGAAGGAAGTACGGGTGAATCAATAGAAGAACAAACAGTTAAAACATTTAAAGATAATGGTCTTGATTTTGGTAAATTTAGAGGAATTGGCTTAGACGGAGCAGCAAGTATGAGTGGTAAACATAATGGTTTGCAGGCTCGACTTCGGAAATGACAGAAAAAAGCAAAATATGTCCATTGTGCATTGCATAATTTAAATTTGGTGGTAAACGATTCTGTGAAAGATATTGCGGAAATCAGACAATTTTTTGAGATGTTAAAAACTCTATATACTTTTTTGGGAAACAGTATACTTCGATGTGCAAAATTGAAAAAAGAAAGCTGTGAAATTTCTAGATCACTCAAAAGGCTGTGCCCAACACGATGGTCGTCTAGAATTGATTGTTTGATATCACTCAACCATATGTACCCAGATGTTATGAAAGTTTTAAACAACATTACGTTGACCGGGCTTAATAAGGATGAACAAAACAATGCCTCCACACTCAAAAAATATTTCGAAAGTTATGAAACAATTATTTTAATTCTATTGATCTATAAAATATTGTCAAAAATTAATTTAGGATCTAAAATACTTCAATCACCTGGAGCTGATATTGGCAAATCTGTTGAATTGATAAAAAGCACATTGGAAAATATGGGGAAAATCCGCGATAGCTTTAATATTTTAATGGAAGAAGCTAATTCTAAAGCATTACAATGGAATGTAACGCCCGAGTTTTCTTGTATACGAATAAAAAAAGTAAAAAAATTTTATGGTGTGCTATATCAAGATAAACGTCTTTCAGAAGGAAACCATTATTTTAAAACTCAAGTTTTATATCGATGTATTGATACTGTTGTTACACAATTGAAAACAAGATTTGTAGGCCTTGGTGAAATAAGTGATTTATTTAGTTGTATTTTACGACCAACTGTAATATCTGATGAAGAGATCGGCAAGAGTGCAAAAAAGTTGGCAGAGGCATTTGAGGACTTTAATCCAGCAGAACTTACAACACAAATCGAATCATTTAAATTTCTGTTTGCTTCTGAGCTTAAATCTTGTCGCAGCGTTTTTGATATGACTAAATTACTAATAATTGATAATAATAATTTAATTACTAGTTTCCCAGATTTGTTAACAGCATTTTATTTGTTCCTTACATTACCGGTTACTGTGGCAAGCGCAGAGAGGACATTCTCAAAACTTAAATTTATAAATAATTATCTCAAGAGCACAATGTGCCAAACACGGCTTAGTGGCCTAGCAATAATTTTAATTGAAAATGAGCGGGCTAAAAAATTGAATTTGTCGTCATTAGTTAAGTTATTTTCTCAAGATCGTAGCAGCAAAAAAAGTTTTCAAGTATAAGTATATTCATATTTGTAATTTTTTAATTCAATTTATAATTCAATAAGTTCTTAATAAACTATACAGTATACATAATTTAATGTAATTTAATTACATAATTTTATACACATTAAAAATGTGTATAAACTAAAATCCCTATGTCAGCTGAATTTGGTTACAGATATAATAGGGCCTCCGAAAAATTGTATTCGCGGGCGTCAGTGAACGTAGTTCCACCACCAATTTGGTATATATATTTTTTTAAATTTATATAATTTTAAACTTTTCAAATGCACATAAATCTGGACTCTAATTTTGAATGAACGCAAACATTATCAATAAACTATTTTTTAATTATCATAAAAACAATTTTATCCATTTATTTTGTTAAATTTCCATTTTAGAAATGTCTAAATTGAAATCATTGTATATTAATGGTTGCTTTCCTGTGTAATATATACACACAAAAACATAATTGTAAAAAATGGCCTAGTTCTAGAACATTCCATTTAAAAAAAGGATGCCTTTCAAAATTGTGATACATTACAAGTTTGATTTATCTTTAATTTATAAATTGACTTCACTCGTACTTTCACTGCCCTTGTACCGCTTAATAGTTGGCTATTTGAGGGCTAAAATAAACGTAGGTGCAATGTCTAATAAATTCTTTCCATCACCAACATAATGCCAAAGTGAATATTAAGCCAGTATTTGGCTAAAAACAGATTTTTTAAATCTTGACTATTTAAGCTTTAACTAAATAATTAAAGAATTATAAAAATGTATAAAATAATTATTTTTTAAACATGTTATGTTTTTGTAAAGATATTCTTTTTTGTATGCTTTAACGTCTATAGAGACGTTTTAATTTTTTACGAATATACATTATCATTATATATTTTATTTATTTATTTTTCTATGGAAATTTAATTATAGTGAGACATATAAATCTTTATATATATATATACATATATATATTCTAATTAATTATCATTTTAAAATTAAAACTGAATTTAAATACAAAAAATAAAAAAACAAAACATATTAATACATTTAGAATTAATTTTATATTAATAGCTATAGAAATAAATTCAACAAATGATATACTAAAAATATCTAAATCATTATATTTTATGCTATTACTAGCTGAATATTATATTAGGAAGGGGATTTTTTAGACTAATTTGTTGTTATATTGTTTAAATAGAATAATGATGAGTGTTTGAAATTAATTGAATTTATTTAAAAATTTATGTATAATATTTCAGGACAGTCAATTTAATGATGAGTTTTAAAAATATTTTTTGTAGTGTCAGCAATATTAATAAATTGAATTTATGAGTCTGAGAATACAAAAATCTAATAAAATTATTCTGTATTTTAAATACCAAACAATGAACGAATTTTCTATTTCATATCTAACTAAATAATAGTGTACAATTTTTAAGGCATATCGATTTTTAAAACTAATATAATTTCGCTTTAAAAAACTTAATTTATGGACAATTTATTTCTTATATAATTAATGTGTTCGTTAAAACCTTAGACTCAAAAATAACGCCTAAATCTTTAAACTTATGAATAAATAATAATTGCATTTTTGTATAACTTTGTACCCTATTAAAAATTAATTGATTATGTCATAATAGTTTTATTAATGAGTAATATTTGTAATATCCATACTAAGATGATGGTGAATTTTGTATTATAATTATAAAAATTTCAATCTTGACAATAAAATAAATCTATCATTAAATATTAAAGTAGCAATGCATGTGTAATGATGGTGATTAAAAAAAAAATGAGAATTTTCATGCAGTATCCCTCTTTAAAATTATATTTCATTAAATAACCTACTACTTAAAGCTCCTTATTATTTTTTAGGAGCTATAATACCTTCTAACTGAGCTTTTAATTGTTGATTTGATCTCTTCAACATATTAATTTCTTCGTTGTGTCTTTGTTGTTCTGCTATTCGTTTTTCAGTTGACTGTCTTTGATTCATTTCATACTTTTTTATAGCTGTTTCTAAATCAATCTTAAGCTTTTGTTTATTTACTTCCAATTCGGTTAATTTATCTTGTAGATCAATTTTATTATGTTCTGCGGACAATGATTTTCTTATGCCAAATGCTATACTACTTTCATACAAAGTCTTGTAAGCATCTATAGTCATATTTAATTCATCGCGAATTTTTAAAAGTAAAATTCCTCTTTCAGCACAATTTATAGTTACCTAAATATATTTTTAATTTAAAAATTAGTTTTAGTTATATTCGACTTATTTTTAACAAACCTGTCGAATAATTTCATCAAAGCATTGTGAATACAATACTCTCCTAATTGGACAAATACCAGTTTCCCGTGCTTGTAAGTGTTGTAAATTCATATCTAGCATTTCTGTTAATTTAATTACATCTATCCTAGTAGCTGGTTCATTTGACACTTTTTGTCTCCATTTTTGTCCACCTTCTTCCCATTCTATTGGAGGTAATATACTATTTAGTATCTCATCACATTCGTTATTTTTATCGATTCCTTTATTAGTTTTCTAAATAAAAATTAATTTGCTATTATATCACTATCATAAAAAAAAAACTTCGATGCGAATCTGTTCTTAAATTTCACATTATTTTGAATATTTATAATCTTATAATTTCTGTTTTTTTTTTCACATAAATATTACATGTTTGTTAAATATTATTTCTCAATTGAAAATAAAGTTTTTATTTTTTTAATCCTGTTGAAATAAAATTTAACATTCATTGTCAGTTTCATTCATAACATATAATTAAGTTTTTTATTTAAGTTTTGATAAAAAGCATACCAAAAGGGAGCTCATTTTCTCTTTTTTAGTGTATTATATTTATTTGCATCAGTATTTAAAAAAAAGTTATTACAGCTTAAAAGGCAGGATAATTTTTAAAAAATGGCATTTTCACAGTATTTTAATTTTGAGATATTTTTTTATCTTTAAAATTAAGAAGATTTTTTCAATATTCGGTGAGGATACTTTCAGCAAGATTAAAATCAGGGGGTCTATTTTTGAGCTTGGACTAATCATTGACGAATGTTTTAGTACACTAAAAAATTATATTACGATTTTAGTGCACTAATTGAAATTCGTATTTTTGATTTTTATTTTTTATCAGTCTAAAAATCTTACACTAATCGTATATCGTCTAATCTAATGTCAATTAAAAAGAAATAATTATTAGTGCGATATGTTAAATTATGTTGGCTGCACTGTATTTTATATTATTAATTTTATCATTTATACTTGATAAAATTTATGATAACAATAAAATTTACCAATGAAAAATTCATTGCTGTTAATTCATTAGTATTTTTAATTTAATTTTTCGTGTTATTTTTTATAATGGAAGCTGATAAAGGTCAATTGTTAATTGATTTTGTTCATAAGTACCCTAAATTAAAAACAAAAAATTTGGATTATCTTTTACTACGCAAGAATTGTAACAAAATAACAAAAATTTGGAATCAAACTATTGGCCCAAAATAAATTTTCTTGGATATCCCTTTTTAAGGTAACGTAATTTTGAGATATTTTTCAAAATTTTTAAAATTGAGGGGGTCTTTTCCAATTTTTTATTTATGATAATATATTCAACTAACCGGGATCTATTGATTATTAAATTCTGTCCAGCTAAAGCTGAGAATTTTTATGGATAGTCATAAAAACAAACGCACGCTATCACAAACCTTTTTAGCTTTCCATCGAAACTAATAATGAAATTTAAAAAAAGAAAAGTTTCATGAATTTTATTATATTAGTTTCAGCAAAAAATTCTCATAAAAAATTAATTAGTAATTTTAAATTATAAAATTGTCTAGTAGACATTGGTGTAACTAGGGTGCTAGAAGATTCAGCTCCTCAGTTGACAAAATAGATCTCTAACAATTTAGGAAATTGTGTAGAAATAATGTATATAGTTATTTTAAAATATTTTAGGATGGGGGTAAAAATATTTTTAGCATTTATGGATGTAGTTTATTAATTAAACTTAGTAGATCTTTTGTTAGTCTAAATTTGTATACAAATGTCCTTTCAAACAAAACTACAGAAAATAACATTTTATTAAAGTAACTAGAAAATATATGTACATTACCATATTATAATTAGTTTAGTGACAAAACAATGAACAGATCTTTCGCTATATTTAATCTCATTTTTTCGTGGTTATTATCTTGACCTTTTTCAATAATTTCCAAATTATTAAAAATTTAAATTATATATATTAAGATGTTCTATTTTTGTATTATTAAATTAATTTGGGAACGTTATAAATACACCAAAGTTAAACGTTTTCATAAGAAAATGAATGATAACAGTAATTCGTATACTAAAATTATGATTAGTGTGGTAGATACTCACTCTAAAAAGTTCATCTAAAACTTTAGTACACTAATATATATTTTTTGGGTATGACAATATTCAAAAATACGGTTTTTTAATTTCACACTAATAGTTGCACTAAAACGTCGTGTTTTAGCATACTAAAAAGATTAGTAACCCAATATAAAATTCAAAAATAGATCTCCAGATTCTTTTGACATATAATTCATTAAAATTGGTCCAGTGAGAGCTGAAAATTTTCATGTACAGACATAATAAAACAATAATATCAAACCAATAAATTCTCAGTTTTGCATCGAAGCTAAAATAAAGTACTAATAAATAATTTAATGACGATTAAATATTACTTTTTTTGGCGATTTTTTTTCGTGCTCTTTAACTAGGATTGGATTAGTATAATGCACTAAGTTAATTTCCAACGGAACAAATCTTTGACTCATTTGAGATTCTTTTGCAATATATAGCTTAAATACTTATCGTAATAATAATTTATCACAAATTTTTATTTAAATAAACATCAAAAAGGAATACGTGTTTTTGAGTAGCATTTTATGTTTAACTTATTTCTTTGATAAAACTTTAACCTTTAATTGCCATGGAAACATAAATTAACTGACATCTTCACTACGTAACAATCATTATGATTATTGAAAACTTTTTATGCTACAAGAAAAAAACTAAAAGCANGTTTATTTTAATGTATATAATACATTTATGAGGTATCTCATAAACATTTCGAAGATCGATTTTTTTTGAGCCACCCTAGTGTATATTGTATAAAAGTACTCTAGCACCCTCAGAAATTTTAGTTGTACTTATGGATCTATTATTGTAAATTTTTTTTTATTTTCTTTTAATTAGCAAAGCAGGTTGCGTTTTTACATCCGACAAAATATTTTAATAAAATAACATTAAAACAATTTTTCATTAATAGATAACCCTGGGATAAACTAATAAATAATTTTCAGAAAAACCTTTTATTAACTTAATTTTTGATTTCGGTAATATTTTTGAATATTTTAGTTACATATATTTCTTGATATATCAATTATTATTTTAAAAATAATCAGCTATAAAATAAATTTAATTAATAGTTTTGGGGTTAATTAAAGTTTTGCTGTAATTTTAGCATCGATGCGAAGCTGAGAAGGTATTCATTTTATTATGTGTTTTTTTTTTTTGTGTCAGTGAACGCTCAATCTCAGCTCTCGCTGAACCGATTTTGATGAACAATACGTCAAAAGATCATAAATCGTATCTAATCGAAGACATTACTCTCAAAAATTGAGAACAATTACTTCGTTTCCCTAAAATGGGGGAAATCCCCCAAAAAATTACAAATTTAAAAATTGCTATTTTTAAACATTTTTTCAATTTTTTTTACTTTAAATTGCCATAACTTTTTTAAAAATGACCGAATCAATATAATTTTTTTATATATAGATATCTAAAGTATTTACCTATCATTTGGTATATTTTTGTGACACATTTGACTTTTTTCACAAAAAAAATAAACAAAATATACTATTTTTTGTGTTAAAATTCTGGGTTTTGTATTTTATTTTATTTTAAAATACCTGACAAGGGGAGTACACTGATTTTCATAAATGTTATATAAATCAAATTAATATAACATAGAAAGTTTAACTTATTTAATTTTTTTTGCTTTTTATAAGTAGAGAAAAATAACATTGAAACTCGAACTAGCTTAAATTGCCATTTTTTCAGTCGACGAAGCGACGTACGGTTGCCGAGTCGGTAACACTTATGTTTTACACGCTTGGGATACAAGGTTCCTACCCACTTGTGGCAAGGTTATTTTTCATTTTTTTCTTAATTCTTTTTGAATTAGAATAAATTTTCAACTTTTGATTTTTATCAAATTTCAAGAAGAAATTTTGTCATTCATATTAATATTATTGTATTATATTTTAGGTTTTAACTTCGATGCAAAACTGAGAGGGTATTTTTTTGTGACTATTATTTATTTTCTCTGCTCTAATTGACCTACTTTTTTCAACGATACGTCAAATGATTACAATTAGTTGAAGATATTACCTCAAAAATTGAAACAAAATTCTAATTTATCAATTAAACAGTTACTTATCCCATGTTCTCCATACAGAGAATTAAAATCATTCATTTATAATGTTTTCAAAGTATTTATTGACGAATCAAGTTCGATATGATAGGTTTCAATTACAAAATTAAATCATTTTACTTTGACATTTAATAATTTTTTTACTCTATTTGTGTGTGCTACTACTAGACTATAATATTCCAAATATTTTGTAATCATGTGGCTATATAAATCATTTCTAAAAAAAAACGATTGTTAGTTTCTCCTGAAAAATGGATTATTAAATCTTTTTAACAATTTTTTTTTTATTAGTTATTTTAGTTAAAGTAAATCATTAAAATTGTTCAAAACAGCACATGTTATCTCCTCATCAGTCGGTATTGATAACGTGTACCTATTGAACACGGAGGTAGTGGTAGTAATATTTGACCGCGAAAGTATATATTGCGGGCTTTGATAACACCGGGCCAAACATTTTTCACGGTCAAGCAGTCAGTCGGCTGATTAGCTGTGGTTGTCATATGTTAATGGTCTGTGCGCTATATTGTGTTATGATACCGTTTACGTAATCGACGTATGCGTGTTTTTTCCTTGTTACAATATTGCTGTTATCCGGCCTATTGAATAGAGCCGTGAAAGACTTAGTTAAAAGTTGTAGCCTTATTGAATTTAAAGTTATTAATGAAAACTTGAACACCGGTTTATTCCGTGATTGTTAGACCCTTATTTTCAAAGTTAAAGCTACCACAGCGAAGACATTCAAATCAGTAGATTAAACGAGTTGAATCCCATGATATTACTGTATGTAAATTTATTTATAGTTTAAGTTATTAATTGTATCTACATTTGTACTTGGAGACGCCCATTATATTTATTAATATTTATTTATTATAAACAGAACAAGATACCATATTTTTCTATAATATATACAAATAATAATTGTACAAATATCTATCTCTTTTATTTTATATTTGGGTATAGATTTGTTTAATTCATTTGTTTCTTCCGTGTTGATTATTATCAGTCATACGGGCCAACCGTTATCGTAGGAACTCGTTGGCTAACAAAAATTAATTCAGTTCATATTTCAATT